ATCAGCTTGAAAGATAGAAATTGGCTTAAGCCATGTTTAACCCACATACTCCATCCCGGCAATTGGGAAATCACAGTGTCATGACAGCAAGCGTTTAGAGACCAGTAATGGGAATTTGTACAGTACGTTTGTATTGTGACTCTGCTACATATTGCAATTGCTATACTGTGCTTCTGCTGCAGTTTCAGTACATTGCTGTATCACTCTGCTAAATCAGTCTTGGGTGCATCTTTGAGAACCTGGCAAATAAGTCCAAGACAAAAGAAGAAATTGTTACTGAAGGTAAGACATGCTCTTCTTTTCTGGATTACCTGTCCCAGGTCACTGAATGGAAGATCTGCCAATAGGAAATCACATGCCTTCACAGTTGGTGAGTTGGTTCATCTGTAGATGACTGGTATATCCACAGAGCCTGAAGCTTAAATAGTCACATCCAGTGAAACCTGAAAGGAAATGAGAAGCCTGCATAATTTGCTCACGTCCTCCCTGAGTTTAAAAAATAAACAAACAACCAAAGAACCCCCAAACAATTAAAAAAACAAATTACTAGGCTCATGGTACTCTCCATGCTCCTCCCTAACTAAAAGACCTTTTAATAGACCACTAGAACCAATTAAGATGCAGAGGACAATCACTTTTCCAGAGGTTCCAGGACTGTGTGAGCCCAGGCCTTATAACCTATTTTCCCTGTACAATGGGAGGACCCAGTTACAGGAGGATCAGTAGATTATTTTGCGCAACAGGCAATAAAAGGCTTGATACTCAATGCTAAATGAATTAATAGTGCCAGGACTGTGGAGAGATTTAATCATTGCAATGATTTAATTATGACAATGTAAGGTGCCTGTTCTCAAGAGAGGTTTTTGAAAATTTCCTTTTGAGTAACTGATTTAAATGTTTTCTTTGATGTAAGAGTACTTAAGATTACTTTCCTTTGGGAACTGTTTCAAGTTCATAGTGGATTAAGCAACAACTTTGCAACATATTTTTTCTGCACACTTTTAAACCGCGTCAGTCTGTATAACACTGTAAGGCCTTCTGCCCAACTTGTGCAATAAAATGCTGCAACTCCATCAAAGGATCTCTAGAAGAAAAAAATTCCATTGAAAGCATTGAACAGGCACAAAGAAATCTGTAATAGCAATTACTATCATCGTATTTTTGAATCATGCATCTTGTTTTGCTCTTTCTCATTTATTAATAAATCATCATCATGGCTAAAGTATGTCAAATAACCTGCTGTGCTTAAAACACCAGGAGTTACAGACCTGAACTCGTAGTCATGACAGACTGTAAGTATTGTGACGGATTGTGTTTTGGTTGTAAAATTAGACAATAGATCAAAACACGCCCTTCCACCCTGGCAAAGCCACCTGAGGAAGGTGTAAGCTAACAGGAAATGGGTAAGTCTATATACTAAAACCTAAAACAGATCTCAGGAAAGAAACAAAGCAAAAAGGCAACTAGGAATAACTGTATGGTTCCAGAGAAGCATTGCACATTCTTCAGCTGCAAGAGAACTCCTTCAAAATTCGCACAAGGCACCTGTACCCAAAACCCTATGTAAAGCTGAAGGAAAATGAAATCTCAGCAAGACAGAAGATTTCTTGGAAATCTCTGCTTCATTAATTTACTACCACAGTTGTTAAGACCATTCTAGTAACAATGTAGACAAGATGGTAACTGGAAAGAGGAGAAAAAGGGCAGTGATGAAGGACTCCCTCAGTGTGACAAGCAGTAATCCAAGTATTTAGCTATTCATTTTTTTCCCCATAAAGCATACCTCTGAGTTTGAACTTTTCTAGTTAGATATGGAAATCTAATACTTTGTAGAGATGTAAGAAGAGTAAACACTACACGCAGGTCAGATTGGCAAAAGGGAAAGTTGGGCAATAGGGGGAAGTAAGCCAACACTTCCCTTTTTAGAAGCAACTCTAATTTCTCCCTGTTGAAGCATCAGCCCATTTCAAAACAAATCTCTCTGTCCAGATTTTAATGATGGAGCATTTTTGTCAATTTTACTACTTTCTAACTTCCTTGAATTGTTTGCTGTATAAAATAGGCTTCAATGAAGTGCAGTTACATGCGTTTGAACAAATGTCAGCTGCTTCATGAGCAATTGGACAAGCACATGCCATTCTACATTCCCACCTCAGCTTTTCAACTCCCAATCACTTTTTTTTTTTTTTTTTTTTTTTTTTTTTTTTTAAGGTATTTATGAACTCACTGCTATGTGCAGGTACCAGTTGTGGCCAATACAAACAGTAAGTGATGCAGCCCTTTTTTTACAGGTGATTGTGTGAATGTAATAGATACCACTTTTAAAAAAAAAAAAAAAAGTGGAAATTTTAACAAATACTTGGGGGAATAAACTGTGCTTATTAATTTCACATAAAAAGCTAGAATTCCTTTCCTAACCTGGCCAGCAGCAGATAGCCTTCAACCCAGTACTACTGAAACCCTCAAGACAAGCAATGGTTACCCCTCTCAATGTTTACTTGAGTCAGCCATTAAACCAACTTCACTAACATGAAAAACTTAAACACACGAGAATTCTACACACCAACCATCTATCAGGATGCCTTAAATTTACCTTGCTGGCTTACTTTTGTTGGGCTGCTTTTCTGAAGGTTTATGAAGCTAAAACACCTGAAGGAAGGGCCCAATAAGCACAGCAGCCAGAGCATAAGGTGGGGGGAGACAGGCACCTTTGGCCAGGCTGGAAGGAAACAGTGCTGAACGTTGAGTATGAAGTTACCTTTATTATTTTCAGAAGCAGCTGACGTAACGCAATAGCTCATGGCAGATGGAGGAGAAGACATTTCCACCCCCCTCCCCGCCTCCTGGCCCTGCCTTTTCTTGTATCAGATCTCATACTGTTGGTCTTCCTCTGCCTCTCCACCACAAGCCAAACCTGCTGCTTTAGTGAGCTGAACTGCCCCATAGAACGACTCAACCAGCACCAGAACTATATGTAATGAAAGTACACAGCCAAATGGCCGTGGGAAGAGGGGAGTGGCAGGAGCACCCCAGCCACAGGGGGGGGGAGACTGCAGCAATCTACCATGCCTCAGGAAGTCATACTTTAAATTCCCAGAAAGTAAGAGAGACAGTATTTTGCAGAGAAAACAGAAACAATCTGCTCTTTGGCCACACATGCCAACAGCACAGCAACAGTTGTTCAAACGTCTCTTCCGTGTCACTTTTTGAATTTGAGCGTTTTCAAGTTTATTTTAAGCATAAAGTGTAACAGCAACAAGATGGGAACACTTTAGAAAAAAAAACCCAGCATCTAGACCAAGGAACTACTTTAGAAAAAATATACAGAACGTTAAGTTAGTTCTGGCAAAGTCCAGGGAAAAGAGGAGAGAAAGCAGTTAAAAATCTAACACACCATTTGCTTTTTATTTTTAATCAGGTATAATAAAAGTACACAAACAGATGCATCGGCATTTTTGTTCATCTTTAGTATATGAAATGGTAGGGA